TCGACGGATTTTAACGAATCTTGGTACAATTATTCTTCATACTCCTGGGCAGGTTATAGGATACTTAGAAATTCCCACGGGCATGGGAATTAGCGGGAAAATCGTTTTGTATGAAAAATCTGAACCGCTTAAGTTAGACGCTTGAAATTCGGCATGCAGGTACCTTACTAAACAAACTTAAAGCTTAGTTACTACAGGATATTGCAAAATTCCCACGTGAACGGGAGTTAGCGGGAAAAAACATTTGTATGAAAAATCCCAACCGCTTAAGTTAGACGCTTGAAATTTGGTATGCAGGTACCTTAGTAAACTTGAAGCTTAGTTACAACAGGATATTGCAAAATTCCCACGGGAACGAGAGTTAGCGGAAAAAAACATTTGTATGAAAAAATCTAAACCGCGTAAGATAGATGAAGGGGGTAAAACGGGATCCACGCGTACGAAGTCGCGGGCGGCCGCTAGTTTAAGAATAAAACTTATGAATATAATATTAGTTAATGTGAAAAATAAATATTTTTTATACTTACCACATAGGTATGCAAGGTTGATCTAGTCATTGATTTTAGTAAAATCTAGGATTGTTTCACAATTTATAGACTTAGATTTAGAGATTTAGGAATATTACCTGTTTTGTCGTCTATTTCTTAAATTGTACATGCATAACTACCAATTAGGTTAAGTGAATGTTATATTTTGTTTGTTTTATTCGTTTCAACTTAAAAAATGCTAATCCGTAGTTTGGTCATGAATGGAGTCGTTATAACTAGCATTTCACAAAGTAGGTTAATAGTCTGTCTGAGTTTAAAATTACGTATACTATTTGAAATAATGTTTATTTTTGTTTAAGTAAATAGTTTTAAAAATGAGAATTTGTAAAAGTATTTAAGCAATACTGAGTACATTTGACCGGTTTTATATTTTTTAACTCAGAACCTTTTTAAAGAATGCATTTATAAAGTAACTGGCACACTATAATACTGTAAATTTTGTTCTGAACAACTAGTATAGAGCCATTGTACCTACTAGAAGAACGTACCCGTTATTTATTGTTGTAATATTTTTATTGTTTAACAACATAATTAACGTTCCATAAATCGTATTAAACAATGACACATTTGATTAGACATTTATTAGCCCATGAAAAAACCATCTGACGCTAATTTTCGCATATTAATCTCATAAATTAGACATCCATTTCCTCAACAATCGATTAACGTGACATCGATTATTAACATCTAATGAGATAATTCTCCAAACGAGTGCGAGAACAATCGATCTTGAGCTACAGTTTTCATCTATTATCACAATAACAATAAACGGTACAATTTCGTACTAATTATGAATGACACGCGATGTGCACGTGCTGTTTTTTGTTTTGATGGTAATTATTGTTTACTTTTTTATCTCATATTGTATCTCAATTTAAACTGATTTAAAAAGATTGAAACAAAGACAGAAGAATCAACTACATAGATATCATAGAAGAGGTATATTTTAATCGTTCTACAGAATATAGTAACAAACTTTTAATTAGAAAAAGAAATAGATTTATAGAACCATTTTTTCTTAGGCATAACTTAAACAAACAAATCAATTCCCAAAATGGTTTCCATTCCATACTGTAACATTTAAAGCTTTTGTTTCTTATAAATATAATTGTTGACTCGAGTTCTTCTAGATCTTAATCCGACAATACCTAATCATCTCAACAGTTAATATGTATCTTCTTAATATCCCATTGCAATAGGTGATTTATTTTAATAACAGATTGTTCAGGAATGTGCAATCTTACATAATGAAAGACAACTTCCATTATGACTAGACTGTTTTAAAAATTATGCAACGTATTGCGAAATGGTAGCATTAAATATGAGTTACTGTGTTAGTAACCTTGAAATGTCCCATGATTTTCAAGGCCAATGAACTACACGATTATACAGATGTGCAATCTTAGATAAATCTAGAAACGAATAAACTTTTTTATAATCCTGTATGGCGCTATATTTATGTGGAAATTGACTCTGCAATCAAGATTATTTGGCTATATTTTCGACATAGAGGCACTTGCACGTTCTTAAACCGTTAGAAGGTATGAGAGTTATATTTAAGTAAAGAAAAAATAACATAGTGACTCATCTAACGAACCATCATAATTTCAGCATCAGGATTGCTGTACATAAGCCTTCCCTAATGATTTCCATATTGCTCGGTTGGTAGCGGCCTGCATTAAACGCCTTTCTGCTAACTTTAGGAGGTCGTCAGTCCACCTTGTAGACGACAACTTGAATCAAATATTATATTGATATTAACTAGTGAAGTAATGGACAAATCCCGATTGACCGCATCTAAAACTCACTTTTAGCCTTGTCTGTCTCCAAACTACTTAACTCGTTCAAAACATTAGCAATCATTTTAACATTCTTACCAACCTCGATAATTAATAAACACGTACAAAAACTTCTCTGTGCAACACTAATCGAAGTTGCATAGTTGTGAAAGGATTGACAGCTAATGTTGATACTTACCTAGTGCTTATCTTCTTCTAAGAAAATCTTACTGTTAGTGAAGTCTGTAACTTTATTTTGTATTTTTACGTCACAATTTTTTCGGATAAAACGTAAAATATTGTGCATTTTGTCCTATCTTTTTTTTCCTTATCTTTCAATGCAAAAAGTCTTATAATGCAAAGGAATACATGATTAGAATTTATAAAAAAAAAACATTTTAAAAGTTTGTCCTATTCATAACCAAATACGTTTATAACTTACTTGTAGGACTAACATTCACACAGAAAAATTACGATTAAAATTAAATATTTAAAAATAATGTATTCGACTTTTTACAATTCAATTCACGTTCATCAACTAAATGTCATCTATTTTATAAATATAAAGAGAAATGTTATATCCAATCAATTTGACTGACTTGAATAAACATCGCGTTATAATTTACAATTGTAATCGCTACAGCAATTCAATATAATAATTACCCACGAATTAAACTACTTATTATAATAAAAACACAGCGAGTCAGGTTACTGCAATACTTTGGTACAAACACCTACTTTATGCAATGGTTATTACATAGTGGAAATATCTCGATATATTGACCGCCTCTCACTTGTAATAAATTAAGTAGGTAACAGACGCAGGCGTTTATATGAATATAGTGGCTGTAAAGTCTTGAAACATCTACATTGATGACATCACGCATGTACTCGTAGCTTCTAGTTGAACTCTTTTGCGATTTACTTGTTGCTTTAATTAATGGTTATACCTAAACCTATCAGGCAGATGCTTCAAGTTTAATACGTAACTGAAAATCCATATTTTTACACGTTAAGTAATTAATTGACACAAAGGATGACTTCACTCAACTCGATGGGGCCTATACAGAAAATAAAACATTTGTATAATAACAAGTTTATTTTCAAAGATGTCGTTAACTTGGTTGCTGTTTGCAAAATCCAGGTTTATGAGGACCTACCGTCCTCAACTTGAATGAATATTTGTGCATTTCTCCAAGTCACTGAAAGATAACGCTGTCTGTATAATTATAAAATCGCTCTTTCTCATAAAAATACTCGTATATTTTCACACAAATCGTGTCTTGTTGTATGTGCGCTGTTACAAGTTTATCAATTTACCCTGAAGTTTTAATTTGAATACTTTACAAGTGTTTTGCTTAACCATTTAATAGACCTTCATTCTTCCGCGTCCACTTCGTTACTCAACACATTCTCTTTATTGGTCTGCCTAAAAATAGACTGTTATTAAGTTTTACTTTGCAATCTGGTACGTGAGCGGAATCTGTTTCGTTGTATTCCGTAGATGATACTAGATTTGTCTAGTTTAAGCTAGTATACACCACAAATACTTAACGCCTAGCGGTTAAAATTAATTGTTTTATTAAATGCTTATCATAGGGCTAAATTATCACCTCTCACTCCCCCTTCTTCTTTTATTTTTGGCTTTGGGAACCACAATTTTGCCAAAATCCCTGTATCCTCTCATTTTCACCGCTACAGCTCCAATGTAGCCTAAGTCTACAACTTGACCGTCAAGAAAAACCCAACTGATCAGCACTCTAGTTTTGCCAATGTCAATCAGCACACTAGTTTCGCCAATGTCAAGTGTTTTAACTAAAATCAGCCTTCGCTCTTCGCGTTTTCCTCTCTCTAACGATCATATGTGCGTGAAATGGCAACACTAATTCGAGAACATTGACCTACGGCAATCATAACTCCAGGGCCCTATGGCAACACCCGAAACGACAATAGAGTAGAGCCCCGACCTCCCGATCGCCTCGCCCTCTTTCCTCACGCTACGTGACATGCACTCGAAATAGTGTGCACTTAGAATTGCTAGTGTTGTTAGTGCGACAAGACTTTTAGATTAGGCATCGGTATGAGTGAGGAAAATTGTAGTTTTGTCTGTTAGTTAATACTTACAATGGGAAAAACATTGTTAATTCCAAATGGGCTTGTATTGACCTTGGTATACCATCTTTTCTGGTACTCTAATCTCATAATACACTCAGTAGGTAGAGCAAAAAAGACCCATATGTTAACTGTCGATCTTGCACTAATATAGGTACGTTTTAGTAACTTATTATGAGGTTGTAGAGGTGCTATTTGACTGTACTAGAGTTCATATCAAACGATACGCTTCAAAACCTTGATCATGAAATTGGTGTTATTGATTTATAATTTGACACTTCATAGTCACAGATAACTGCATTATTAGACAACTAGCTTTCCGCCCGCGACTTCGCTCGCGTGGAATTTTTCGGTTTTTTATATAACCTATGACACTCAACAATAATGTGGCTTTCTATTGGTGAAAGAATTTTTAAAATCGGTTCTGTAGATCCCGAGATTACCCCTTACAATTGAATAAATATACAAACACACAAACTTTACCTCTTTATAATATTAGTATAGATAAACTATTTAAGAAACTAAGCATACCTACTTACTAAATCCTGCCCTTCTATTCCAGACCACACCGAGTGGAGCAAGCCAGAAAGTTTCCAGAAACAAACACAATGAAGACGTCATTGTACCTGATCGCGTTGTGCGCAGCATTGGCTGCGGTGGGCGCTGCGCCGGCGCCGGAGCCGGCGGCGAACCCCGAACCCGCGCCGAATCCCGAACCCCAGCCGAACCCTGACGACCGGCCGGAGATCATTGAAATCATCGCTCCAGCTGCCAGCGCACAGGTACGTTGAAGGACTAGGATGATTAACTTTTAAATCCGTAAGGTTTTTGCACTCGGTGGACCGATGTCCTGTACCTCTAGCAACAACTTTCGTCTTCGAATCGTTTGCGTATTCGACAAAATTCGATACTCAACCATCGAAATAAACGATAATGTGACAATTTTGATTCTAAAAAATGTTGTGCAACCTTTTGGGCGCTGTTGTAGTTTTCGTACTAAATCTTTTGATGGCGATTCGAATGCGCAAACGATTCGAACTCGAAAGTTTTTCGTGCTAGCCGTACTGGTGAAGGTTGCGAGCAACGTAGGACTGGTCATTGTGAAAATCTTTGGGGGAGGTCTTTATACAGCAGTGGACTTCCTTAGGTTGAACAGGAATATAAATGTAGGTAATCATGTACCTACACCTGATTGAAATGTGTTTTCGAGCTAACAGACTATCGACTTTTTATGAGCTATCAGAACATGATAGTTGCCTTAGACGTTTTACTGGTATAGCAATAGATACGTATGACGCCACTAATTGTTCTACAATTCAATTAAATAACAACTTGATTTCAAGTTACAAAAATCTAATTTCACAGTTCGTTGAAAACTAATCAGGATTGAACTTGTTGTTTTGTACCGAAGTTGTCTTATAACTTTTGGTGTTGAATACCTACTTTATTCGCAAATTACCCCTTAATAAATGCATACTCGATCGAAGGATTTCCTTTGGGAATACTAGCCAAAATATTGCACTTTCGTAGCTCTGTATAAACTCGCGTAGTTATTATTCAGTAAATTATGCAATATATCTATGTAATTGCCTTTTAAAACGCAAAAGGAAAAGGTACTAAAGTACGTAACATTTGCAAAATAACTTACTTTTTGCCTGAATACCTAGTTGCACAATATTTTGATCGCATCGTAATATGATAACACTTCGCGACTTCGTACGCGTGGATCCCGTTTTACCCCCTTAGGAGTTGAATTTTGCAAAATCACTTCTTCTTCTTCATTTGTTGATGGCGATGGACTTGTGTTTTTTCGCCACTGGGGGCACACTGTTCCGCCAATGTCACGTGCGCAGCTTTTACACAATGTTATGAATAAAAAAATAAATAGATAATAATTCAATACTGCAAAACTAAGCGGACTTATCGTACCTAAAACAAAAAAGACATCACACACAATCACAAAAAGACATCACAAAACAAACAAAACACAAAAATTTTGTACAGCATGGATTGGGATAAGGGAAAGGGTTGGGACTGTTGGGAGAGGCTAAGAGATTTGGATTGAATTTCGCAAGGCCAAGACAAGTTAAAAGTACCTACAAATTAATTTTGTTAACATTGATGAATTTAACAAGGGAATTTAACNCTACAAACAATAAGAGGCAGCAATGTCAAATCAATAGTAATTGTAAAAAAAATAAAACATGTGAAAACTGCACTATCTGTAAAAAAGCTGTTTGTGGAAAATATACAAAAGAGTCTAAAAAAACTATTACTTGTTACAAATGTTACTAACTCTAATGCTAAATTGTTTACTAGGCTATAAAAAAATAAATTTGTATTATTTTTATTTAATTTTTTTTTTTTAAATCTGTAATAATTTCATAAGTATTCTCACTTAACCTCTAGTACCGTCAAATTGACCGCTGCGGTCTTTGAAGGTATAGCATGCAGCCCGGCCCTTCTAGTGTTAAAATAGGGGAGTTATTGGTGTTAAGTACGCATTTAATGTTAGAGGGACGGGGGAAAGTTTTAGGGAGAAAATCGAACAGTGAGGATCCAATTTTGGGACAGTTAAAAAAGATGTGGTTGGTTGTTCCTTCATCCAGGCCGCACTCGCAGATGGAGCTATCTTTAATGCGCATTTTGCAAAATCACGTCTTAGTGAGCACCTACGTTCTAAAAGTTTCTGAGGTTTCGTGATGAGTGAGTCAGTCAGTCAGTCAGTGACCTTTCGCTTTTATAGATACAGATAAAGTTTTAACTTCTGATCTAATAGCTCAGAAGCGTGCACATGCATACCGCAGTCTATGATAAGCATAAAGATTTACTACATCTCATTACAGCGAAGGCTAGGCATAAAATAATCGGCCCCAATGTGCAGCGAGCGTGCGCGGGCGCCGCGAGACCCAGTAACTCAGTTACTGGACTTACACACGTGTTTCTTAACTATGATCTACGTGGCCTGATAAAGGAAACCTAATAGGGTAGTAGACACAAAATTGACAAACTTTTTATGACCTAGTTATTAAAATTTTCTAGCTTTAAAAGTCTCTTCTCAAACTAAGTTTTTCAAGTTATGTTTTTGACTTGTCAAAACGCGATTCTTCTATAGATTTGAGACTATGAAGACGCGAAATCAATTGATTGAAAGCCACTTAAAAATCCAGTCAGCAATACCCATAAAAAAACTTAAACTCTGTCTTCAGGGATTAAGAGTCTTTACAGAAGATGTATCGTTTTATTTTATTGGTATTGTTGTTATATACCCAATTTTTCAGTGTCCTTAGAAAAGTAATTAGTATAATATTACCTGCCTACTCAAATGGATTAATTGAGATTTATCAATTGTTAAATTTAATTATGAATTTATGAAATAGGTATGTAGTTTGAACAGCAATAACTTCGCGTATTTAAACTCAATCCACCTTGGCAAATTAACTACATTCTAAAAATAGAAACCTACTTACCGTAATTTAATTTACACACAGTTAATTTAAACAAAGTAAACATTTTCATGTAAATAATATTTTACTTTGAAATAACACGTTTTATTGCAAGCATCATAATTAAACATTACTCACTATGTAACAATTTAAGTGTAAAATTATTGTTTTAAGTTTATCTCTACATAGAGTTTAAGACAATAGGTACGCTAACACAGACCTATAAACGGTGCTCGCAGAATATCAGCGTCGAGGTACTACGTGCCTCGGCTTATGCTGAGCGAGGACCTGTTTGGTACAATTTTATTTTAATTTTAAGTTTTAATTTGTATTGTGTTGTGCCAAATAAACGTTTTTTTTATTTATTTTTTTATTTATTGAAAAATCGCTCTTATTACCTCTTCATAAAAACCCAGAGTTTAGCTTGAAGTGCTAGAGTCGGTATTTTTGCAAGATTTTCCCACCGCTATGTCCGTACAGATTCTTACACGAAAATATTCTCATTCTGGCCATAGGTCACGGTATTCTTGACACTGCGTATCGCGTGTATCCCAACAGGCAGTTCATTAGTGAAATAATTACGAAAATCACGTTGTCTTGTAAATTACTCAACAACAACATTTTTATAGTAGGTTTACACTTATGATCGTGTATAGTTTTAGGGGCCAAAACTATACACGATCCTGAGACACGATCCTACATTGGAGGAACATTTTGTCCAACAGTGCACATCCAACCAAATGTTAAGACTTACTTAGTTTTTGGTACACTGTTATGACGTGTCTCTTTTTACTTTTAGCTTCACATTGGTAGTCAGGCTTTATAGACTCCAAATAGGTCCTTAAATGTTATTTGTTTCACATCATTATCAATACTTGACCTGCTAAAGGTAATAGTGATATACAGGCCTACTCGTACATAAATTAGGATAGGACCATTATTGACTTGTTTTGGAAGAACGTAAAACAAAACAAATCAATTTTCATTTAGCGACATGATCAATTTGCATATCTCGCAATGACGATGACATAATGTGTGATGGTCATTGTTTGAAATCACTAAACACAAAAGAAACGAAATCCAATGGTACATTTCAACACAGAACCATCAGAAAATTTCAAAGAATGGACAAAACAACATTTTGTCACAAATTTTGGCAATTCTCATTAGCATAAATGCAAATCGAATATTGTGTCAAGTTGCTTACTTAATAGGCTTTTAAAATCAACAAAACATACCTTTAATGTATCTTGCGTTGTTACTGACTGACTGCCAGTTGGTTATATCTCAGAACATAATTTAATTACAATGATGGATTGCTATTATCATCTAGACTGAAAATTGCCAAGGATTATATTGATGCTGTGCCTAACATTTAGAAGGTAGCAGTGGACGCCTTTGCAGTCTACTATTATCTTAAACTGGCGATCCTGGGCTGAAGGGTCACGTTAAACTGTTACAAGTGATATCAGCCTCTTTTAGAGCCTCTTTTAGAACATTCTCAAAGTTCTAAATGTTATGTAGTTACTTAATTTATATTTATTACTTAATTCCAGGAGACGCTGGCCACGCTGAACCTCGGCGCTCCCGGCTCTGAGCTGAGCGAGCGAAACAAGCGAACCATCGGCATCCTTCGGCAGTTATTCCCTACGTTGACACAGGTAATGCAGTCCCTGAGTTCCCTACCTAAAAAGCTACATTCAAACGGTAAAACTCACTGAACTACTGATGCATGAGTTCTAAAGTCATTTATGTGTAATAAAACAATACTCAAAAAGGAAACCAAAAATTGCAACGAATGGTTAAATTGATACAACTTCTCCTCAAACAGAAGTCGCGGATTGTTTTTCGCACTCCGAATCACACCTCGATTGGTTAAAAAATGTTAACCACAAATTCTTCCACAGGCAATGTACTAATTAAAGTTTCAGAACAGGCACAAACGGCGTTCTAAGGTCGGTCTATGTTCTAGATTATCGAACAGAAAGTCCAGCAGATAACAAGCCAGGTTCTCCAGACTTTCGGGCCAGTTGTGCTTAGAGCGTTCCTGGGGGGCAACCGCAACGGAGGGGGCGACAATATGGGAGGAGGAGGCACCATCGAACTGGATGACGATGACGATGATGATGACGCGGAGCCAGTGACCACGAGTTCCACGACCACCACGGAGGCGTCGACTGACGACGAGAAAAAAAGAAGAAAACGCGACCTAGTCTCTTTGCCGGTATGAAGGTCTTTTTGGCGCACTAACACAGCCTGCCTAAGGACGGCAGAGCGGGCGTGCGCAGACCGCAGCCTCCATCCCCATCGTCATCGTCACTTACATCACTAAACACCCATTCCACCATAACAGCATCCACAATACTAAATTCGTTTTACAGAACGTGGCCGCTGATGAGAATCAGTTGCTGTCCGGCGCGGAATCGCAGCAGGCTGAAGTGAGGGTAGCTTTCGGGGAAAACCAGGGTCAGGATCAGCAGGTCGCCGCCAGTGATGACCAGCAGACGGCAGCACAAACCAACTCCGCCAGCATCGATGAGATCACTCTCGATGATGCTGACAACAGCGAAGAAAATAGAAACAAAAGGTGAAGAGTTGGTCCTACGTCTGAAGATTTTAGGCCTTTAGATACCCTGCTGAGTATTTAGATAAAATTTGATAGGGATTGTGATATCTGAGCAGTAATCTTAATTGAATATAATTAAGAAATAGAATAACCAGTCCTTTAAAGTGAAACCGCGAAGGAATGGTTACAACAAAGCAATTTGTAACGTTATCTGCGCATTCCAGTTTTTTATGTAATAAAGTAGCTGGTCTCTATGTTTTGCAAGATATACATTGTCTCACAGATGTGTTCTAAAGCCTGCACCATTGTAGGTTTTTGCTAGACTTTTCAATTCGCACGTTTCGATTTCATCGCCGTGCCGTACTTAGAAATGTTTCGCTCGGCGCGATCATGTAACAATTGCGTGTGAGCATAAATTACTTAGTATTACGAGACTGGCGGTTTAAATGTTTGCTTGCTACGCTACCGTTGCCTTATGCTTGAAAACGTAAACATAGGTTTTACAAAACACAAGCAAATCTTGACAGTTTTAGGAAGCTAGTAGGTACGAGTAATGTTCAAAAGGTAGATTTTTCTCTCTCAATTCTCAAACTCAATTTTTAGTGTCGATTGTTCACAGGATTTATCGGATACAAAAAGAACTGTATTTTACTAAAGTGTTTAATAATTACCAACTAATTTTAACATCACTTTCTGTTTCCCTCCATCGAAGCATGTTCTAATAAAACGTGCATGTGTTTCAAACCCCGTTTCACATACTATTCTGTCTGTATCTTTTTCATTGACATCATTATCATCGTTCATGATCAAATCAATGTCCTTCTGTTTGTTTTTATTGGATTTTCCTCAAATTTTGAAGTTTTCTGGTTAATTTTTCAGATTTCTGAGCTTCGGCGGTCAAGCTGGAGCGGGCGGGTCAGGAGGCGGGTCTGGTAACTTCTTATTCGACATCGTCAGGGTAAGATCTTTTCAACCAATAAACAATAGTCCAATCATATTTCTATACACCTAATATTCTCTTCGCCCTTGACTTATAACAAGTCCTTTAACACTAGAAGGGCCGGGCTGCATGCTATACCTTCAAAGACCGCAGCGGTCAATTTGACGGTACTAGAGGTTAAGTGAGAATACTTATGAAATTATTACAGATTTAAAAAAAAAAAATTAAATAAAAATAATACAAATTTATTTTTTTATAGCCTAGTAAACAATTTAGCATTAGAGTTAGTAACATTTGTAACAAGTAATAGTTTTTTTAGACTCTTTTGTATATTTTCCACAAACAGCTTTTTTACAGATAGTGCAGTTTTCACATGTTTTATTTTTTTTACAATTACTATTGATTTGACATTGCTGCCTCTTATTGTTTGTAGTACATGGTTCACTTGTTTCAGANTTCTAGTGTTAACTATTTGCTATATGTATTTATTAATAATATATTATAATTTCCAATTTATATATCATTCTATTTTATCTATTACTGAACTTTTCTCCCTTTCTAACCATTTCTTTTAATAAACCATTTAATAAAGTTACAACCAAATCTATTACATACCTCACCAAAACAACAAAAAAGAAGACATCAACCTGATGAAAGAGTGAGAGAGAAGCATGTGCTATAAATAGGTGCGAGTGAGAAGGTTTGATTTTCAGCGTCCAGCAGAAGCGATGGCCAGGGCAGCTGGAACCGCGTTCAGGCTCTTCGCAGGAACCGACTCTTTGAACGTCGGGCTCACTGCTTCACACACAGCTTCATTGGACCCTAACGATCCCCAAGTACACACATAAGTACAGTAGAGAGGTGGACGCCGTAGATTGTTGTAGTTAGCTGCCGTATGAAGTGGTATATTGCACTTGATCACCTGGATTCAGTAGCGGCGTAAGGGGGGGGCGGTGGGGGCGGTCCGCCCCGGGTGCCAAGCATCAGGGGGTGACACAAGTGGCGCAGATTAGTATTCACTGGCATATCGGCATGGCAAATCTGCGGTCTATGTCATGATACGGGGGTGTGGGGGGTGTGATTGTCTTTCAATCTTCGAATCGACCAAAGTCCTGGGGGTNGGGGGGGGGGGGGTGATCGCCCCGGGTACCAACCCATGCTACGCCGCCACTGCCTGGATTAGATCACCCGGGTGATCATAGGCGACATTTTGGTGTCCTTTGATCACCAATGGATAAGGTGATCTCTAGGTGATATCACCGATGGGTGATCTCTAGGTGATCTCATCTACGGGTGATCAAAAGACACCAAAGTGTCGCCTATGATCACCTGGGTGATCTAATCTAGATGATCAAAGTGGACTAGACCTATGTAGGAACTATCGTCTTCGAGAACAACTGGATGATCAAAGGAGAACGAATGCAGAATGAATATTCAACTAATACGCTAACAATTCTCTCGCTTCTATAACTTATTTAATCGTACCTATGCACCCTTCTAGATATTGCACTATCTAACTGCTCCAATAACATAACATTAGTCTAAGGTTTGTTTGTTTGTAATAACTTAAGTAATGTAAATTATTGTCGTAAATGTTTTATGTTAACAAAAGTAGTAAATTAGTTGTTCGTTAGATAGTTGATTACCTTCAGAAATAGAACAGTTGTTTCAAATTATATTCGTCATTAGTGACCTAGCAAATTTTATTAACTTGTAGACTCTACAATTAACTTATTAGTAATCTGTGCTACAATGTAGAGTCTAATTTAGAAGTGACGCAGTACCATAACTAAAAATTATAAAACACCTTCTCCTATTTAAAAACTTGCCTCAGTCTTCCAAAGCTAAATTTTAGCTGCAAAGTCCAGGTTCCAACCTCATACTAAAATAATAACTTTTTTACACATAAACAAGCACACTGAGTCACAACAGTTACATTATTCATTACCACTCCAATGTCAAATACCAAAACTATCGAAAAACCGCCATCAATTCCACATCAACCATTCTCTTTCCAGCTCGTAGCCGGCTCATCTTCAGGCGCGTCGGGTGACACCGCCGCGGCAGAGGGTGACGACGCCGGTGCAGCCAAAGGCGACAACCTAACCGAGGGTGTGCCCGGCCCCATCACCAGGCTCTTCATCATCGCCAACCGAGGCATCGCCAACCTCATCCAGGACCTCATCCTCCGCATCGCACAGACCTCCGAAAGGATAGTCAACTTCAAAGCGAGATTGATCACCTCCATCATTTAACGCGTTTGCGGGTAGAACAATAATTAGTTAAGTAGAGTAGAAAGTCCACGGGTAATAAGACGAGGCGAGTGACGCTTCTGTAATGTAATCTTTATTGGTTTAATGTGTGATGTTGAGTATTAAAATAAGGGTCTCATCTGTGTTAAGCGGAGACGTGTGCTAGTCGTTTACTATTCCAAGAGAGCCCAAGAAGTGTTTTTTAATTTTGCAAAAAATAACCAGTACGCAGTCTCTTGCTTAACGCAGCGGAGAGCAACGTGTATAATTTAAAAGTGCTTTTAAAACCGTGCAGGCGAACGTTACAAAAATCCTACAAGCTGTTCCGTTGACGTCTCTGCACGGTTCTAAGACCACTGGTGGTCTGATTAATTTAAGAGTTAATATTATAGGTCTCGTCTTCTTATCTGTAGGCAATGAGTGCTACGCTGGCCGGCCCGTAGGCTTGGAAATAACTAGCGAGGTCAAACCACTTGAGTTTGCTAGTCATATTTTTGGCTTGATCATAAAAAGTATGTCCCGCACGGTTTTGTGTGAGGGATGCTTGTTATGGGTAGCTTAGCCCGGCCTTCTTTAGGCCTGGGTCGCGTGGGCTGGGTTGAGGCCTGGGTCATGTGGCCTAAGCCGAGGCCTGGGTCTCGTGGCCTAGGCCGTGGCTGGGTGAGGCCAGGGCCGGCGCACCGACGGCGGCGTGGCGTGGCCAGAAGGCCGCCCGGCGCCATCGTCATTCCTGCTCAAGCTTTTTTTATAATGTGACAATTTTCGATTCGTTTTTACGTTTGTAAATATGTATTATAGCGGAATTTTGTATAAAATAAAACGATTAGTTAAATTATTTTGGAGTGTTAATTTAAAAGTGGATATGATACCTTTATCAAGGTCTTACGCCCAATTTTCCCATCCTTTCCCCAAATTCAACAATAAGTAATCCATGCATGTAAGAACATGAATGCAAGAATGCGAATCCTAAGCTGATAATCATAAAAATTACTACGATTGTTCTTCCTAGTATCTCTAAAATAAAACCACAATATCTAGATTTCAATCACCAACAAGACGTCACAGCTTTATTCCATTCTAACTTTATCTGACAAGAGACATACAATAAATGAAAATATCGCTACTTGAACATATTCATGCAGCACTCACTTTACAAACTTTAGAAAACGACACATTATTTTTCCTGCCTTTGCTACGTTAAGTTGTTGAAAAAAGAATCCAAGAACTTCGCAACTAAACCCACGAAGAAGCGTCTTCTAGAGGGCTCTGATGTCACTCTTGGGAACCTCTGGCATTTGTCAGCTGTAGGCGAGGGCGGGGCTTGAGAGATCGCAGGGTACACTTGGTACGACAGTGGCGGGTACACTTGGAACGAGAGTGGTGGGTACACTTGGTACGAGAGTGGCGCGTGCACAGCTATCCTCATGGGGCGAGCAGCGCGCGCGTCCACCTCACACTCTATTAGATGGACACCATACCTGAAGTGACTGAAACAAAAGCAAAGCGTTTTAGGTAGGTAGCTCAAGCAAGCGTAGGTAGCTCAAGCAAGCGTAGGTAGCTCAAGCAAAGCACGTTCAGTCTTTCATGCATTTAAAATGATGATTATTGTCCTCAAATTACAAAAATCTATACGACTTTAAAAGACAGTATGGCAAATAATGCCATTTTGTATATTGCTCTGCAGACTAGCAGTTAAACTTCCATAGTGTTCTATAGCTAGTGGCGAAGATATCAACGGTACAAAATCAGTACCCCTAGCACGAATAAATCGTTATCGTTTTAGGATAATGAAAAGTAAAACAGCGCTGCGCCACGGTTGTAAGTAAGTATTTACAAGAGTACCAAGAGTACCTACTTACCGATGAAACCTTTGTATTTTTGTAGAATGTATAGAGCCCATAAATACAAAAACAAAATAAAACAATAAACAAAAGGTTTCTAAAATAAAAACAACAAGCTAGAAATCTTTTTAAAGTTTACTTGGCCTAAATACAGTAATTACACTATTTTTGTTGATAAAATTAATTTTAGGTTGTTTTCATGTCAAAAATAACATTTTAGTGCAATTTAGTTGCGAAAAGTTTATAGGAAAGGAGTTAGAAATGCAGAGAGAAGTTTTGTAAAATAGTCACCAACTCATCTTAATAATTTGATATAAATAAACTAACTTATTGATCTTACTGTAATGCTTTTAACAAACTCGTTCTTTATTATTTTTATTTCTAAGTTTAATCTATATATATGTTACAGGAAATGTATGAAATCCGTCATTGTATACAATTCCTAGGAATTGTGTATAAGTCCTAAAATCACCCAGAAATGTGTGATGTAAATTATATTAGACACATTTCCTAGGAAAAATACACATTTCCTAAACAGCAATCGGAAATGTAATTAAGATATTTTTTTTTAAACAAAATTATTTTTATTACGCCACTTTTTGTTCTCCGAAATTTAAATGGCGCTACCGCGCCGCGGGAGCTGTGTATGTGTAAGGTCGCAAGTCTAACCTAACCTAACCGAGACTTTGTTATCCAGCTACAGGAGTACTAAAACCTTCATGCCAATAATAGTTTGATAAAAGAGATTTTAAAATTAGGGATTTCCAATAATTCAGCGTAATATGCGTGATGCCGAAAGAAAGGTATGCCAATAATTTTAGGCAAATATTTTTTTCGGCCAAAGTATAATAGTGCGAAAACAACTGTCAGGCTAAACAATAATAATTGTGAATTAAAAGTACCTATCGGCCAATGTGGTTTGGTTAAATGAAATTTTAGGCGTACCGAGGGGCACCCGATCACGCGACCGCGCTTGTGCCGCTTAGTTTTATACATTTCCTAATACAATATTGGAATTCTATAAAATTCCTAGGAAAAGTATACATTTCCTAGGATATGTGCGTATTAAAAAATCTCTGAAGCAATATTTTATACATTTCCTAAATAGCTTCGGAATTGTATAAATTTCCTAGGAATAGTATACAATTCCTAGAATTCATACATTTCCTGTAACATATATAAAAATGAAACCCGTTTCGCGTTGTCACGGCATCACGTGTGAACGGCTGAACCGATTTCGATAATTCTTTTTTTTAAATGTTTGTGGAAGTCCAAGGATGGTTCTTACGGAAAAAAATATTAAGAAAATCTCTACGCTAAGGCGGTACGAAGTTCGCCGGGTCAGCTAGTATTTTATAAACTTATCTACTTAGATTCGGACCGTAAAGTCGTTTGATGGCTGTTACTAATCGCGGAGTATTATCCAATCAGCGCTATGCTGAGTTTTTAGGCTTAGTTTTCATTGGTAGATGGTACGTCAAGTAACAAAAAACATGTGTCACTGTCAAGAAGTGTCACAAAGTGACAAGTGAGTGACATGAGTGACATCATTTCCATACGTTTAGCTTGCGAAATCTTCTAAAGTTTTTAGAAATGTTTTAATTGTATTATTTTAGGTAATTATTTCAATTACAATTAAATCTAAGATGGCACTTTATGAAGGCATCGCTTTGATCCAGGAAAAGCAAGCAGTTGTATTAGATCTGGGCACAGATTACACTAAGTAAGAAAGTCTTGTTTTCATTTCGTTTATTGTTATTTTAAGCTATTATTTACCAATTCTTAAACCTTCACATTTAAGTAAATAACATGACAATCATTAACCTTTTGATTTTAGCCAATATTCATCATAATAAAGCTAGTTTTACGTAATTTTTAAGGTTTGGTTTCACTGGCGAAGCCGCGCCTCGATGCATCATCAGATCTGAATTTTGGTGCCCTGCAGAGCGCCGGTATAAACGCGTATATGATTACCGCACCCCAGAAGAACTGTACGACAATCTCGTGCACATGTTACATTTGTTATACTTTAGGTAAGTAAATGATTTGTGGATAACTAACTGGCTTAAATTATTGTTGTACAATGGATGAGTAGTGAAGCTTCACACTGTAAGACATTAATTTACTTCCTTTAAATGCTTGTTTTTGAGTTTATTTAAATTGTAGCACAAATATAAACTTTAGTCGAAGAATTTATATTTATAAACAAACTTTTATACTTTTCTGAATGTTACTTAGTTAAATTAAATTAATAATTTCAGGCATGTATTGGTGAACCCAAAGGAGCGCAAAGTTGTAGTAGTGGAATCACTCCTCACACCAACTCTCTTCAGGGAAACCCTGGCCAAAGTTCTGTTTACACATTATGAGGTAAAGACCTTCATTTCTTCATTTGGATTTTAATGGTATGACCTATTTAATATATTTTGTTCAGTGTCCAGTAAAAAAAGAAACATTAAAATACATTTTAGCGCTATAATAGAACTGCAAACCTGGTAACAAATATCAGTAACTTGAGCTGAGTTACATCACCTACTTTAACCGTAACTGTAACTATAACCATAGTTTTTTGTAGATTCTGACAGATTTGATGTTTACTGAAGTTGAAGTAAGATAGTGGACCCAGGGTTAAAATTCTACATTACTTCTTTTCTTGATTTCTATGACTAATTTAACTGAAAAACAATCTATTACAGGTATCTGGAGTTGTCTGGGCAGACAGCCCACGTCTTTGTGCCCTCACACTGGGAACTCCTGTGGCTCTCATAGTATCCATCGGTGCTCAGGAGGCAGAAGTTTGCGCTGGTAATTTTTTTTTCATGCAATAGCCAAGTAATATTTACCAATTAGGTTGATGATACTATTTACCAATAGACTTACTTTTTCTTGATAACAAAGCTGATAAATATAAAATACTAGCTTTCCGCCCGCGGCTTCGCCCGCGTGGAATTTTGTCTGTCACAGAAAAACTTTATCGCGCGCGTCCCTGTTTCAAAAACCGGGATAAAAACTATCCTATGTTCTTTCCCGGTACTCAAACTATCTCTATGCCAAATTTCATCAAAATCGGTTGCGAGGTTTAAGCGGGAAAGCGTAACAGACAGACAGACAGACAGACAGACAGACAGACAGAGTTACTTTCGCATTTATAATATTAGTTGGGATTTATTCAAGCTCATAAACATTTTATTGCTTACAAAATTTTCAAGTGGCTAGAAAAATCTAGCCACTTGAAAATTTTGTAAGCAATAAAATGTTTAAAACTCAAAAGAGTTTCACAAGTTTTTTTACCAACCAATTTTTGTCACTAGTGGTCCACGCGTCAGTAGTGCTTCGGGCGTTACAGTCGCAGCCGCTAGCAGCACGAGCCATCCACGATGAGCTGTCCAGGTTGCTGGATGAAGACAACAACACAGAACTGCACCTGCCTGACCACATCATTGAAGATATCAAAGGTACGTTGAATTTTTATGCTCAGGCGTATCTTGAGGCCTCGGCACAGATTGAGGTCCCTGAGGTGGAAATTCCATATTTAGATCTATCACAGGACAGATCTTACTATTTTCAAGGGTTAAATAATTGAAATAGAAAAACTTTATTAGACACAAAAACACACTTTAAACATGGATATTAAACACACGTAAAATGCCTCAGTATAAATAGAGACACATGCGGGTCCCGACACTTATTTTCAGCCGATGCCCTCATTCGATGCCCACCGATTTCAAATCCCATAACTGCCGAGTAACTAGACAACAGAAAATCTATTGTTGGGTCACCAGTGTTCAATGGGCTACCTAAGTAAACACCGACAAACGTTACTTCGACATTACGTTACTCCCACACTGCTGAGTATAAATTTCTGAAATGTCTTGGGATTAGCGGAGCAATTAAACGAAAACGTATGAACGATTCCACGGTTTATTGTCAACTGACACATACACATAAAAACAGTCTACCTGCATACAACAATACTTATTAATATTGAGTTACCTACATTACAATTTCCAGCCTGTTCAATGTTTTAAAATCAGGATTTTTTTCTTTCCAGTCAAAACCTGCTTCGTGGGCAGCCGCGAGCGAGCCCAACAGTGGGCTGACGGTCCCACGCCTGTGCCCGCTAAGAGCGTGCAGTACCCGCTCGCGGGACGGCCGGCGCTCGCCGTCTCCGGCCGCGCGCGGGAGCTGGCCGCCGAGCCTCTGTTCGCGCGGGACAACGAGCGAGCCTCGCTGCCCGACATCGTGCTGCAGTGCATCATGCAGGTCATTGTTCAACAGATGGAGTTGCCGCTAAAATGTTTTGAAACTTTTTGCATGTGGCAACATTTGGTTGTGTTGCCATATAAAAAAAAAGTTGCAAGGAGGCTGATAAATCTGTCAATTTCGAGTGTTTATTTGTTAAATGTAAAAATGTTTTGACACTTTTTGTATGTGGCAACCATTCCACCAAAAAAAATTATTTTATATGGCAACCATTCCGCCTCTTGGCCCAAAGGGCTTGTATCCAGAGCCGTAAAACTCCATGTAAAAAATCTAGGATGTTGATTTTGGCCAGCATTGAGAACACAGATGATTTTATTCTTTTGATAGTCCATCCCAAATAAAATCTAAATTCTTTTGATTTTTCGTGGAATCCGTGGAGACAAGTATTCTCGTATATTGCCATCCCTCTCACGCAAAGCGAGATGCCAGCATGAGCGACAGTGACAGATAGACCCGAAACTACGAAAGCAGCGTTTCGGAGTAGCTCTGTTTCAAAACCCCAACGGATCCATTTTGAAAGTTACTATAGCGAGTCTTTTGCACTAAGTCTGATCCGAATACGTCAAAATACGGATCTAGAAAACTACTAGAAAAATCTGATCTAGCCCGTGTTACCAAGTCTCAACAATTGGTTTCTACTGTCTCGCTTCGCTGGTACCTGAAGGGCACAGTCCTCCAGTCGCGCGCCTGCCCCGGGCCGTATGCCGCGCTAAGAGCGTGCAGTACCCGCTCGCGGGACGGCCGGCGCTCGCCGTCTCCGGCCGCGCGCGGGAGCTGGCCGCTGAGCCTCTGTTCGCGCGGGACAACGAGCGAGTCTCGCTGCCCGACATCGTGCTGCAGTGCATCATGCAGGTCATTGTTCAACAAATGATGTTGCCGCTAAAATGTTTTGAAACTTTTTGCATGTGGCAACATTTGATTGTGTTCTTGTCATATAAAAAAAAGTTTCAAAATGAGTTTGATTTCTGTCAATGTCAGGTGATTTAGTTCTTTTGATTTTTCTTGGATTCTGTGGAGACAAGTATTTCCGTAAGCAGCGGGGTAACTAAAAAAGTATGAAGTTTCCTATATTTCCATCCCTCTCACGCAAAGCGAGATGCTAGCATTCGACGGTGACAAATAGACTCGAAACTGCAGGTTTTAAGACACCATGATTCTTTTTGAAACTTACTAGAGCGGTTATCGCACTACGTCCAGAGAGCANTGCTCTCTGACTACGTCCGAAAAATGCGAATCTAGAATACTACTAGAAAAGTTGGATCTAGCCCGTCTCATGAGACCGCGGTAACAATTGATCTCTACTGTCTCGCTTCGCTGGTCCTTGAAGGGCACAGTCCTCCAGTCGCGCGCCTGCCCCGGGCCGTATGCCGCGCTAAGAGCGTGCAGTACCCGCTCGCGGGACGGCCGGCGCTCGCCGTCTCCGGCCGCGCGCGGGAGCTGGCCGCCGAGCCTCTGTTCGCGCGGGACAACGAGCGAGCCTCGCTGCCCGACATCGTGCTGCAGTGCATCATGCAGGTCATTGTTCAACAGATGGAGTTGCTGCTAAAATGTTTTGAAACTTTTTGCATGTGGCAACATTTCATTGTGTTGCCATATAAAAAAAAATTTCAAAAGGAGGTTGATTTCTGTCAATGTCGAGTGTTTATTTGTGTAATTTTACAATAGGAAATGAATGTTTTAGATCTTTTGATTTTTCGTGAATTCCGTGGAGACAAGTATTCCTCTAAGCAGCGGGGTTACTTCGAAGTTTCTTATATTGCCATCCCTCTCACGCAAAGCGAGATTCCAACATGAGCGACGGTGACAAATAGACTCGAAATTACAGGTTTCAAGACGCCATTAGGTTCATTTTGAAACTTATTATAGCGCGTTTTCGCACTACGCCCGAATGTAGAAAATTACTAGAAAAATCGGATCTAGCCCGTGGTACCCTAAGCGGTCGCATGAAACCGCGTTAACAATTGATTTCTACTGTGAACTGTCTCGCTTCGCTGGTACCTGAAGGGCATAGTCCTACAGTCGCGCGCCTGCCCCGGGCCGTATGCCGCGCTAAGAGCGTGAGTAAGAGTTCAAGACGCCATCGGGTCCATTTTGAAACTTATTAGACCGGTTTCACACTACATCCAATCCAAATCCGTCCAATGAGATCTCGAAAACTAAGCGGCCGCATGAGACCGCGGTAACAATTGATCTCTTGTCTCGCTTCGCTGGTCCTTGAAGGGCACAGTCCTCCAGTCGCGCGCCTGCCCCGGGCCGTATGCCGCGCTAAGAGCGTGCAGTACCCGCTCGCGGGACGGCCGGCGCTCGCCGTCTCCGGCCGCGCGCGGGAGCTGGCCGCCGAGCCTCTGTTCGCGCGGGACAACGAGCGAGCCTCGCTGCCCGACATCGTGCTGCAGTGCATCATGCAGGTCATTGTTCAACAGATGGAGTTGCCGCTAAAATGTTTTGAAACTTTTTTCATGTGGCAACATTTGATTGTGTTGCCATATAAAAAAAATGTTTCAAAAGGAGGTGTCAATTTCGCGCTCGAAATTGACAATCAAACACTTTTGATATAATTTTACAATAGGACATGGGTGTTTTAGTTCTATTGTTTTTTCGTGGATTCCATGAAGACGACGTTTTCCCTTAAGCAGCACTTCGAAGTATCGTATGTTGCCATCCTTGTCACACAAAGCGAGATTCCAACATGAGCGACGGTGACAAATAGACTCGAAACTACAGATTTCAAGACGCCATTAGGTTCATTTTGAAACTTACTAGAGCGACGCCTTTGGGTCCATTTTGAAACTTACTAGAGCGCGTTTTCGCACTACGTCCGAATGTAGAAAATTACTAGAAAAATCGGATCTAGCCCATGGTACCTTAAGCAGTTGCATGAAACCCCGGTAACAATTGATCTCTACTGTCTCGCTTCGCTGGTCCTTGAAGGGCACAGTCCTCCAGTCGCGCGCCTGCCCCGGGCCGTATGCCGCGCTAAGAGCGTGCAGTACCCGCTCGCGGGACGGCCGGCGCTCGCCGTCTCCGGCCGCGCGCGGGAGCTGGCCGCCGAGCCTCTGTTCGCGCGGGACAACGAGCGAGCCTCGCTGCCCGACATCGTGCTGCAGTGCATCATGCAGGTCGTTGTTCAACAGATGGAGTTGCCGCTAAAATGTTTTGAAACTTTTCATGTGGCAACTGTGCCATGTTGGGAGACCGTATGAATGAGACACGGGTTGTAATTAGTCTCTGATATTAATCTGTTTATTAACGCGGACTACACGTATATTTATACGATATAGATTATAGATAAATGACGTCACAGCATCAGCACTATACGTGATAAATGTGCTGACACTGTGAACGTGATCAAGATAAGATATGAAGAGATTTAGTATTGTGCATACCGGCACAGCAACCATTCCACCAAAATATTTTTCTTATATGGCAACCATTCCACCTCTTGGCTCAAAGGGGCTTGTACCCAGAACCGTAAAACTCCAAAAAAATCTAGGAGGTTGATTTCGGATAATGCGGGAAATTGACCAATACGTAATAGTGTGAACACCATCTCGGTTACTTTCTCCTTCCCCCAACCATGCGTCGCTCATACTTGATCTTCTTTTGAATTTTCGTTGATTCCGTGGAAATAAGTATTTCCGTAAGCAGAGGGGTTACTCCACAAAACGTTTTTTAAAGTTTCCAATGTTGCTGTCCCAAATGAGATAATGCGCCCAACTGACAATTTTACCGGTTGGGTCTATGTTTATACAAAGTAAGCCATTAATTAGCTTAAATAAACTTACATGATATTTTTTCCGTTGTTCAGTGCCCCATCGACGCCCGGCGAGCGCTCGCCGAGAACATTTTAGTGACGGGCGGGACGGCCACCCTGCCCGGCCTGAAGCCACGGCTGGCACACGAGCTACGGTATCTGGTCACTCAGCCGCCTTACAGGTAAAGGTTTTACAATAAATGTTTTTATCAGCCAACCAACCTTCCTTTTAAGATGACCTGTGTGGTTGTGTTTGAAGTGACGATTTTCTCTTGTAACTTTGTAAGTGAAATCACGTCCCAGATGTGACAGACTTATAAAGCTATGATAATATAAATGCTTTTTTCTCAATTGTTTGGGAGAAAACAGGCTTGAATTTGAAATAACTTCCTGCTCATTAGATCGCCAAGACATTTGGTTAAAAAAGTGTATATGAAAAGTAAAAAAAAGTGTATAAAAATTGTTGACAACTTTTTTATATTAAAAATTACAATACACGACCAAAACGATATTAGTGATCTAAAGTATTCTTTGTATTGAGTATTAAAAATATTAATCTATTCCAGTGAGCGCCTCTGCGTCCGCACTTTTAAGTTCCACAAATCCCCCGCCCACGAGAACAGCACGGCTTGGGCGGGCGGCGCGCTGGGCGGCGCTGCCGACGCGGGCGGCGCCCGAGCTTTGGCCAGAGACGTGTTTGTGCGCGAACGCAGGCTTCGGGACTGGGCCTGTCTACTGGACAACACACCGGCCGATCACCCACAGAGAGATCAGCTGGACCAGTGACATTCACACCGGGGGATTTAAATGGCTGCTTTACCTAATGGCCGTAGGTGCTCTTAGCATGAGAAATAACCTTTGCGAAAACTATACACAAGAGGCACGAGTAAATCAGATGTATTCTTAGCGACAGGACAAGCTTTTAGCACGCTGTCGATTGAAAGCTTGCACTTACATTTTGTATTTGAAATGAAATTATTTAGATTGTAAGATAAATTATTTATACATTAAAGTTACTAATAACAAACAATCCCTTTTTGTTACTCCTCGTAGTCCTCGTACTTTACTCTTCGATTTCATTTTACAAACGCGCTTGTTTAGAAAAATAATTTGGTGCCTTTTATCGAAAATTAGTTGCCAACTGACGGAAACTGTATTCCTTTGCCTTGTATTGATCTATGAAGAAATTAAAAAAGTAACTGTCACTTGTTAGGCCTCGTCAGTTGTCAAATTGTCATGACATTTTGTTGCACTGAAATCTAAAAATAATAGTAAATTAACAAAAGATAGGCCGATTTTCTTATTCGTTTTAGTGTTTGTAACATCACAAAATGTCGGATATCAAAATTGTGGCAGCGAGTATTGTAAACTTTCTAAAACAGCAGCTGGAAGGCGACATATTGAGCGTTGATTCTCGGGAGAGCGTAGAGGTTGGCGTGCAATGCATTGAAACCGCATTTGAGCTGAGTCCTGAAGACGCTGCTCGCGGCGTGGACCTGTTGCAGCTGATAAGGCAGCAGCGCAGCGGCCAGCCCGCGCCCAACCGGGCCGAAGCAGAGCGATTGAAGAACGAAGGCAACGAACTGATGAAAGCGGAACGTCATCGGGAAGCGCTGGAAAAGTACACACTCGCAATAGAGATTGACCCGCGCAACGCTGTATACTTTTGCAACCGCGCCGCTTCGCATTTCAAACTCGGAGAGAACGAAGCAGCTGTTGCGGACTGCATGGCCGCGTTAGCTCTACAGCCAGATTACGGCAAAGCCCACGGTCGTCTAGGTTTAGCTTTGACCGCGCTCGACAGACATCGCGAGGCGAGGCAAGCGTTCGCGCGTGCTTCTCAGTTAGAGCCCGAAAACGAATCTTACAAACAGAACTTGCGATTAGCCGATGAGAGGCTGACGCAGCGTGGCGAGCGCGGGCCAATGGACCTCGGAGGCTTGCTGCAGAACCCGGCACTCCTAAATATGGCCACAGAAATGCTGGCGGATCCTAACATGCAGAACCTTATTTCTGGTTTGATGACTAACACAACTGGCAATGCAGCGCCTGGAGCGCCCACAGGGATGAATGCACTGTTAGAAGCTGGCCAGGCCCTCGCTCAACACATGCAGGCTTCAAACCCCGATTTAGTAGAGCAGTTGAGGAGGCAGGTGCGTCCGCCAGGGCCCGGCGGCAATCCGCAGTGAATCTTTTATCCTAGTCTCTTAAGCCATCAATAGATATGGGTAATACGGTTTCGGATGACCTGTCTGCCTTCTATAGATACTATTTGGAGCTGTAATAAATTATTTTCAAGAAACTAGTTACTGTTTTGATTAAATTTATAGACAAATTGTATGCATAATATTGTATTTTATTGAATAGTGAAGTTTCACTATATTTGTTCATTTATGGGATATTGATGTCTAAAACTATCAGATGTAGATAACTGCACGAAATACAATTGTCATTTATATACCTGTAAATTGGGTCATGCATTTATATTATTTACTTGAAATTCACTATATTTAATTCCTTAAATAGTAATTAATATTCATAGATGCTATGCTGTTAGAGTATATTGAAAAAATAAGTATACTTACTTAATATTGTGAAGTTATGGACTGATTGTGTTCAGGAAATAAACATTTACGACTCAAATCATGTACCAAATTAAATGAGGGAACGCTTCAGTTCATCTCAATATCTATGTGAAATATTGGTGTTTTATCAATAAATTACCTTCGATTCAAGAAATTATTTTATTATACTTCCCTAATTAGTCTCGTTTTTTAAGTGTAATATTTTGATTTATAGTTTTTCTTATCCTTACTTTCTACAGTAAATGTAAATTAATCCTTCTTCTTCTTTTCTAAGAAAATCCTAAAAAAATGGTTTATTGAATCTGCAACCATAGATTGTCTACTATCTAAAGCCTGAACCTAGTCTAGCTTGATTTAAATTTAGACAAAAAATAATGCAATTCGAATAAAAATAAACAACATAGATCAAGGTCACCACATCTAGTTTAAAGTGCGCGTTATTTTTATATCCCTTGTCTACTTTATATTCTGCGCATTTAGTTTGAACTGTAATCTTAATTGAATAAAGTTCAAAATATTTGTAGCAAATTCGGCCATTGGCTGTTTTGAGACACATAGGTGGGCTCGATTTTCAGTTTAATGAAAACAAGATCCTTTTTTATTTAATTAAAACTTGCACAATAATTCCCCTTCTGGCGCAGTCGGGTAAAAACAGTCATAAATAGAATTCTCATGCCCGTTTTCTCCATCAATCCCTAATTTTTAAGTGACCCCTATGAAAACAAAATTCCTACTACTATGTGTTACCATAGGGGTCACATAAAAAATAGGCATTGATGGTGAAAACAGGCATAAGTCAGTTTATTCATCATATTAGTGATATACCTATTATGTGTATTCTATTTATTACCATCCCTTTTCGATTTGATGGTACCAACACAGCGGAGAACCGATCAATCTATGCAGATTCACTAAAAATAAGAAAAAAGGTAGGATATGTATCAGGATTTCAGGAATAACAATAAAACACACAAAAACGCTGCTTTCTTAACTATTTATTACACTCTATTTATAATTTATAATCAATACATTTACATATCTTTATGTACACACAGTAGCAAAATGTAAAAACACGAATACACCCCGCCCGGTGTTACCATTACCAAATGAATACTTATCAAAAATTTACGCCTACCTACATGTCTACACCAAGCGAGGTGCATAAAATACAATCAAAAATCTAACGCATATAAAAATCTGTATTTACATTAAACTCGCCCACGAAATAGATGTTAGTATTCGATTAAGTGTTTATTAATTATGTTGATTTGTTTATAGACTCGTGTTCTAGTCATTAGTGAGCTATTTTTAGTCAATTATCATTAGTACATACTTAGTGCGACAAACAAGACTGGTCAGGTCAATGATGAAACTATACGATAGCAGATACAAGTAATCAAATTAACTGAAAACATGTAGGTACCTAGAGAAAACGCAATTTCTCTTCCGACTGCATAAATACGCGAGGTTTACGGTGACAGGAACTACAATCATGGAATAGTGAAAATAGTCTTAATGGTATTTTCATTGCTGGTATCTGCCATTGATTTTAGTTCTTTATTTAGTTTCGCATTATAAACTGAACATTTTTGAGTTTACGCACGATGCGTAAGGGGTGTGACATCCCGTGACCACGCCCTTTTTGTCTCAGGGTTGCCACAAAGTTGACCCTTAAATGTAACGTACATCTGGCAATATTGAATAGAACACTTGCCCAAGACAAAGCCGTGGAAAGTCAAAAGTGTAAAAGCTCAAAATTATTTACCCCTACTCGATATAGTAAAGGCACTGAACTATCAAGTCGTAAATGCAGCTCCAATAAATCAAAATAATAATGAATATAAAGCATATTGAAACTTAAATTAATAATCTGTAACATAACTTGACCGGCCGTGTAAATTTTGCATACATTATTAGTATACTTTCAATATAGAAAATAAAATAATATTTAATTTTACGTTAAACAATAATAAATTATTATGATCTTTATTATAATTTGAAAGTATGTAATTAAATTATCATAAAATTATTTGAAGTAATATTGACAGACATGCAACATTACAATCAACATTTCAATATAAATTGACGAAAATAATTTTTATTATCTAGACACAGCAATATTTCTAAATAAAGGAACAACTCAATAGAAACACTGTAACTTAAAAATTAAAAGGAAAATTATGAATCAAAACACCATAACTTTAGTAAATAATATGAAAATGCAGTCGCTCTGACTGTTAAATAAATAAACATTTTTGCATTCATAAGATATTCTTGATTTTTTAAAACCACAGAGCACCATACTTACTTAAAAATCCAAATAAATTAAGTAGTAGTTATAAAGCTACAACAATCAATCTAGAATATAATATTCCAATACAATTAAATGGCTCTTAACAAAACCTTGAGTACTAGGTCACCAGACGAATACATTGATAAACCAATAGTAAATAACATTGAATTATTATTATGACTTTTAGAACATTTGCAGTGCGTTTAAGAAGTGCTCAAGATAATGTAACTTGAGTCAGACAAAGCAATACAGTGTTGCCCTCATTCAAAAACATGTTGACATGTCGAAAAGTAGAATTTCCTAGATTTCTAATATTGTATTGTTTCCAAGCCCACTCACGCCCTGTGCCACACAAATTGCAGATTAATATTTATGAGAGCGTTAAGTTAGTTGTAGTGAAAATATTTGCATAGACGAATCACAGCCGAAATGGACAAAATGGGTTACCGATAATTTGAAGATTTTGAAGCGCGCACATTTTAAACTGAGTTAGGAACGATATACACGTGTGGGGCAAAATTATACCATACTTTTATGTCTAAGATTTTACCCTAAAGTGTATACCGTCCTTTACAGCAAGCACCCCATAACTTTTATGATGATACTAGCTTTCCGCCCGCGGCTTCGCCCGCTTGGAATTTTGTCTGTCACAGAAAAACTTTATCGCGCGCGTCCCTGTTTCAAAAACCGGGATAAAAACTATCCTATGTTCTTTACCGGGACTCAAACTATCTCTATGCCAAATTTCATCAAAATCGGTTGCGAGGTTTAAGCGGGAAAGCGTAACAGACAGACAGACAGACAGACAGACAGACAGACAGACAGACAGACAGACAGACAGAGTTACTTTCGCATTTATAATATTAGTTGGGATTTTGAATATAGTCTTATCTAATTACATAGATTACATTTATAATAATGTTGATGCTTATTGTAATAACATGGGTTGCTTCAGTTTATAATACGCTGACATACATTTGTAGGTGTAACAAACAAGCTAAAGCTTTGAACAAACATAATTACAGAATTAAAATGCGTCAAAGAATTATTGATATTGTTAACTGTGGTAGGCATTACATTATAATTTATCAATTTGGTAATTCTAGCTGCCTGTCTACTCAATACATTTAATATTAAACATTCCTGAAACACTGACGTATTAATAACATATTTCAAACATACAATTTGTGTACTTACAATTTAGAAATACATTGCGGCTTCAGAGACCAGTGTGGCAAAGCATCCAGTACATTTTAACTGACGAAATCACAAAACATTTTGATCAATTCAAAATATAGACCCAAGTCTGCATAGACCAAGCTCACTGTAAATATCCAAAGCACATTTAAGAGAGCAGTCGACATCGACACCGAAGAACGAATGCTACATACAACACAAATTGCGTCCTCTTACTTTCTTTTGTTTTTCTGTGTCTTGTTCGACTGCCCTCATAGACGGCTCTGGTGCGCTGTCTTCGTCTGGAACACAACAAATATTTAGTTGCGTTTCGAAGGGGGCACGAGATGTGGGGGCAATTCTGAAGGGAGGTCGTGCCCGTCGATCTTGACTCGGATGAGGTGCATAGCGAGTGCGAACTCGTCATCGTCGAGGAAACCATCCTTGTCGATATCGGAAAGTTTCCAGATCTTTCCGAGCACGGAGTTGGGCAGTTTCGATTTCACCATCTCTGTCTTCGCCGCTGTTGAAGAAAGTGGGGGTAGAGTGAGGGATAAGGATAGATAGATTAGGCGGTGATAGAATAAAGTCATGTGTTTACATAGGCCGCGATTGAAGCAAATTACAGTCGGTCACAAGTCCAACAAGAAACGTCTCGGAACGCGCTTTAGTATCGGCACATTGCAATCGCAACTTTTGCTGAAACCATGTTTTGTGTCCTAATAAAAATGAGGATTTAGGGTCCATATTCAGAAACCACTTTCAACCTCGATCGAAACTTGGTTGAATGTCAAAACCTCGGGTCGAATTTATGCTAAAGATTGAATCGAGTATTGAGCGCTGTCTAATACGAAACAGACACGTCATCAAGGTTTCAGACTGACGAAATAATGTGACGTGGATCACATGACGATGTAGCTAATTCGCTTGTCTTTCTATTACGACAGATTGTCGTAATTTTACTTTTTACTCCGTCGAAACAAAAAATGACAATTGAGAATGTTACTAGGTATGCAAAATCACTTGNAAAACAGACTAAAAACTTTTCGTTCAAACCTTTAAAATACGTATTCAATTTGCATAAAATTTCTTTCACTTGGCTGCTTAATGGATTTCGTACAGGAAATTCACTTACAGTAGGAGCCATTTCACTAATATTTGGAACACAATTACATAAAATTACACGTATCTGCTAGTATGCTGCCAGTACCGGGGGTGAAGTGAAGTATGTGAGCGACAAGGAAGCGGTGCGTGACGGACGCGCCGCGCTTCAGGCCGCTTGCTATAATAAACCATGCGCGGGACGCGCGCCGCGCTTCAAGCCGATTGCCACTCTAAACTATCGGTGTGCACTCACACAAATGCAATTCTCAGCTTAAGTTGAGAGGACTGTACCAACAACATTACATACAAAGTAATTATATGAAAATCTTACTTAACCCANCTTCATTGTTGCCTTGTGAACACATGACTTTATCATTGCCAATATTTACAGCCACACAAGTATACACCGTTATACAGGGTGTTAGGTAAATGAGTTTATAAGCCGACACTAGCCCATGTTAACATGTGCATATAAATAGTATGGTGAAGTCAGAAATTTTATGTCATCATAATTATTATTTTATAATTTGCATACAAAATAAAATTTGTAAAATCTGATTTGTATGAAAGTTTAAAAAAAATGATGATATCAATTTTCTGACTTCACCATACCATTTATATGCACATTGCACATGTTAACATGGGCTAGTGTCGGCTTATAAACCCATTACCTAACACCCTGTATACAGTCACCAGAACATCAAGCTATGCATTTTCATTCCAAAATAGCACTTAACACAAGTGAAATAGGTACCTTGATGTGCCAGTGCGCATTTTCCTGCCTAAAACTGAATCTATTCCAATATAATCAACGGATAAAACAATTTCGCAATAAATAATTAACAAAATAATTTGGATTTTCCATATCTAATAATGATAACACGCATGCAACAATAATAACCGACGCTAATTTTGAATAACCGTTTTCAATTTTTACCTAACAAACCAAGACCGTAAAGACATAAGACTAGAATACACACCCAGAAAACAATAAACACAAAAAGGGTTCTCTTTACCAAAGTATAGAAAATTAAGTAAGTACTTCTTACAATAAGGTCATATAGATTTATTGAACCGATATCGTAAATCTTAATAAATAAGATACTTTGTCATGATTTGGATTTCATCCTTAAAAACTTTAAGTCCACTAAGGCCCAGAACACACGGTGAAACGTAATTGCAACGAAACTGCAACTTCTAGTTACTTTTGAGTTGCATCTAAGTTTCTGCCAAACTTTCAAACCGGTTTCAAACTGGTCGCGTCATGTGTGGTCTCTCAATGGAATTTATGGCAGAAACTTAGATGCAACTCAAAAGCAACTAGAAGTTGCAGTTTCGTTGCAATTGCGTTTCACCGTGTGTTCTGGGCCTAAGTAGACACAATTATAATAATAGATGCGAATCACTTAGGAACTAGGAAGTTTCTAAAACAGTTAATTAATAGATCAAAGTACTATTACTCATACTTCGCGTGAAATATTTCAAAATATTCACAACATTGTGCCTATGAAATATCTCAAAGATTGAATGTACCCGAATTGTTTCTTCGTTAGAGCCAAAGGCGAAAACTTTTGCTTTATCGAACCAAGTTTCTGGAGTTTGGTCGACAGTAAATTCCAAATATATTTCTCCAGTAAAAATGTAGGCCAATGTCACGAACATAATTTGGGTTGTGATCATTATAGTAACTATATTTAGTGCTAAAAGAAAAATAAACTTGATCGAATTGAATATTGGTTCAAAAAAGCTTCCGCGGTTACTTTCGTCTAGATTAAGATTGTATTCAGGCGCTTTAAGTTCGTCTGTATCAGAACTACATTCGGAATCTACTTCATCGTTATCATCGACATCATTTTTGGGTTCTGGTGTTGTTGAATCTACTTTATAATCGATGCTAGTTGTAGCTCTAACTCCATCATCAGTAAATGAATCGTTAAAACTATGAATGGATACGGCACCTGACATTCTACTACTATGAGGCTCCTCAACCCTTTGATTGACAAGAAACTGCGCAATCATATTAGTGTTTTGAGCTGCAATTGACAACGCATCAGTTATTTTCTCAAGTGTATTGCCTTCGTCTTTACGATCTTTGAGTTCCATGCACAGTTGAGTTAGCATTGAGCAATTTTGTGTGGAAGAGAGCATGGCATCGAGTGCTTTATTCACAGTGATTGTACCGCGCAAGTGTGGCTGCGAGCATATTTGTTTTAAGGTGTAGAGGTTCATACCAGCTCCAGTGACTTTTCCGTCGATGGGGTCCAGGGATTGGAAGATTTGGTCGTATCGGGGCTTCTCTTTGCTGCAGATCCACTCGGGGTCGCCGTGGCCGGCGTCGACGCCTTCGCCCCTGCCGTAGCCGAAGGGCGAGACTTGGTCTTCTACGCCTTCGAAGGCACCACCTGAAATGTGAATAATTGGGGTTATAGCCGGGTGTAAGTTTACTGTTTAGTTATTATTACCAGGTCATGTATTCTTCACTGCATGAGCTTAGCCATATCTAATGTCTATAGAAGGGAGAATTTAGCCTGGCTAGACGTTTTGGTTTAAAGTAAAAAAAAGTATGTGACACACACAACAAAGACGCTTTACTCATTTTGCAGATAAAAAGAATACTAATCCATTCAATAAACAGTTGGCATTGATTTATTGAGTCGTATAATTTTTATTACATTCCAGTAATTATTAGGTAGTTGGTTTTATTATTTCACAAACATTTCGTAATTGATTAATGATAAAAATAAAATATACGATTTCTTGAAAAAATACACCTGAATCTATAAAAAAACTTCCGTAAGTTAATAACCTTGTTATTTTTTCAACATAATACAGTTATAATTAATTTACTTCCACACAATAACAAAAAGTGCGTAACTATAAAATAAATCAGACAGCAACAATCTGTAGAATATTATGACAAACAGTTATTTATCTATTATTACATTATTTAGCTGTTACATTAAATTTAAATAGTGTTTTAATTGTTTTAATATGGAGTTATTAGTAAGATAAAACCAAAATTAGATGGAAACGCAAACATTGCAATGCAACGTGAGCGTTACATAATTAAATATGTATTACAACTATAATAACAATAATACATACAATGTGCGACCGTGAATAGTTCTGTGGTATTGTAATATTGAAGTTTAATTTGTTTGCTGTATGTATTGTTGTGACCAAATTCTATTTATTTTACTAATCAAACTAGGTTCAAAATTGATAACCCTTATATTTTTCAACCCAACTCGTCTACGCTCTAAGCTTGATACGTTACAAAACTAAATTCTTTTAAGTAATTAATTGAGATGTAGTATTAAGATGTACGAATCTACCTAAGTTAACTGTATAAATAGTTAGTAACTTTTTTTTTCAGAAGTAGAAAGTATGCTAACTCAGTGCAAATTACCTACATATCTCAACTTTTATAACATTTTCAAACAGAATTACACTTTCTAGAGTTTTATCATTGTTAACTGTGACCATAAAATGTTTCGTTTAGCTCAGTGCTTCTTAACCGGTGGTCCGCGGACCACTGGTGGTCCCTGGAGACATTCCAAGTGGTCCACGAAGTGCACTTGCACACCTTGGTTAAAACCACTATTAACTCATTTTTGCAGTCAAACTGATTTTGACCGATTATGAGGTGGTCCCTGACAAGACAGAAATTTGGTAAAGCGGTCCCTCATGACTTAAAGGTTAAGAACCACTGGTTTAGCTCAATGCATGTGTTAATACTTGTGAATGCAGTGTTTGTGAGTCACACGCTGCATTTTGCAAGAGTTGAACGTACGAAAATTGGCGGTGTAGACTAAAAGCTAATAAAAATTTAATAAAATATAAATTATTTTAATATTAAGGTTCCTTTTATTAATAAACACATTAAGATTCATACATGCATCTTTTAAACGTTTTATAAAATCACGCAATTTATTTCTACAGATTATTTCCGTAGACAAAATCTTCTCCAATATTATGTAGAAGTATCTACCAGAAATTACGCTTTTCGCTACTGAAACAACTTTCAAAACATTAAACAATACCTTGTAATACTATTGCATAGTAGTTATTTATTTGAAATAAATTACTTTGTTGTTTTAATTATCGTAATACGTAATTTCAGTGTTCGCGTAAATAGAAAATTATTTGTAACTAAGGAAAAATATTGCGAACTGAATTAACCTTAATAACCTTTGGTGTTTTGAAACCATTAATCAAATATCAATATTCGACCAATATTATTTTGAGTTTGAAATTGGAATAACTGACTGGAAATTCCATACATAATAGCATAACAACGAACAATTTATTCATTTATCAATTACTCTACATAAAGTCACCTTGCACCTCGTTCAGTATGTCAGCGAAATCTTGACAAATAACACCCTAGTTAGGTGTTATTATCTCGAACGCCAGACGAGGTCACTTATCCATTATGGCTACCCACAGGGATTGTTTTTACACCGTCACAATCCAACGCACTTTATTATAAGATGTTTTGCAGAATTATTAACATTGTTTCTTTTTGTGGTTTTCGAAGAATCCAGTAGTTATAATAATGTCGTCAATGTAGGTCATGCCGAATAGTAGTCGGTAAAAACAGAAGACGTTTCACGCTTTGCTACGTTTCGGGTTTAAAGTTTTTGCCCGTTTAATCTACCGTTGCGCTAACCGTCCTTTTACGTAAGAACACAATTAAGGTGAATGTAGTGAGTCTACTCTAAGTACAAGTAGCTGATAATACGTACAAAGTCAAAGTTGTTTATTCAGTACTTAGGCCTTTTCCAAGGCGCTTATACACGTCCCTACCACCACTTCAGGACAGCATAATGGACTGGTGCTGAGAAGAAGTGGCATGGCGGAAGAAACTCAGTCACCACACACGAAAACATTTTAGTTTATATTCATGAATAGAACGGCGCGGTAGTACCAATTACACATTATTTTTTAATTACATACTTGTCTCTGTAAATATTCTATAGTTAGGAAACCATTGATGCCCCATATATATGCAAGCTAACGTATTCTACCCTTTACACACGAGAATAAAAAAGTGTCAATATCGTAATAAAAGTTTACTTAGGGGTTATTTTAGAGTTTAAATAAGATTAGAAAAATACTTGAAAAAATTTGCATTTTCAGTTGTCCTGAAAGTATGCCCTCACGATAGTGAGGCTTCGGTATAATTTGTTAGTCTCACGATAGTGAGTGTTATACTATTTAGTTAATTTATTTAATGAAAACTACTAATTTATGAGCACATAAGTATTCATTTGGTAAGAGACCCCTATAAGTAAAGAGTAAGCTATAATTTAACAAGCAATTAAACCTCTTTTAGCAAATGGTCTTACAAAAAACGATTTAATTAAAAAATATCCACCTTTTGACAAACTTGCAAAGTAAAAACCTTTATTAGTTTGGTTGGTACCAATATGAGGTCCGAGATGATTATTAAGAGATTGTAAAATAGAACAAAATTACTTTATAATTAATAATAAAGAAATAAATGTCATTTATGGCTTAAGATGATATGGCTGGAAACAGCTTTTTTGCGAGAAAGGCACAGGTAAACATCTCACTTAGCACATTTAATTTTTGACCAGCTAGAACATCCTTCCAACATGTAACACCTCGGTGCTTTTTAGCCAGGTAAACGTTCTCATCTGTGTTATCATTTGCCTTCTGACCTTAAAAGTCTATATTATATTGTTTATGGATGTCGAGTCGTTTAGTAAATTTTCGACACGATGCTCTTTATTAGGATATCTGTTTAAAACCTCAGCTATGCTGAAACGAAAATCTAGTAATGCTAAAATGTCTTTTTTTGAATAACCATTAGTTGTGCAATCAATTTTCTAAAGCCGCCGCGAATTAACAACCTCCAGGTCCAAAATTTAAACTAGAACTTTAAAACCCTATTATCTTGTAATAAAGGTTTGGTGGCATTCCATTTGTTAGTCCAGAATATCTACACCACTCATATCGTTCAATGATTGAATAATAAGATGGACCTCTTTGCAGGTATATTGATCCTTTGTTTATCATGGGTTGCACCTTCCAAAGCGGTTGTCTTGTTCTGTTTCTGCTAGTTGGTCATGGTAAAATACATAAAGGGAATGTCGTGTGTGTACAAATCGGTTATGAACTATTTTGTTAGCAATAAGCCCCTATTTTTTATACTAGTGTGTCAGTACATATACAAACATGGGTCCGGAAGGCATCTCATGAAAATATCTGCACCGAACACTATAGCAATTTCGGTTCTAATAGTTTTTAATTCTTTATCGATTTAACGCATGTAGTGCAAGTTTGTACACCTAGCCATCTCTTTGTAAAATGTGTCATCAAAATAATCAATTGAGATACTCAGTTGGAGTACGAATTCAATTTGTTTGAATTTTCTTCCAAATTGACCATGTATTTTGTAGCGGACGTGGCTTTTGTTTCAGCTTTTGCTTGCCACATAGTATTTTTAAAATGTCTGGCCAGCCTTGCTGATTCATGTTCAGGGTCTACTTCGTCTCCTGAGCTTTCATATTTGGTATTCTACTCTTCAAAGTCCGTAAAAACCCGAAATTGTGTTTCCTGGTCTTTTTAGTCATGAAAATCTTTAATTTCATAGTCGGTTGCGTTTCCAAATAATGCTACGACACATCCTTCATATTTAGGATGCACTAAAATAGAAAAACAACTAAACACTAATCCTTAATATCAAATAACAAATAAAATAGTTTTCAATCAACTACTGGAGGTTTGACCGACCAGCTACGATCGTGCGACTTAATTTTGTGGTAGTAATAATTATTAATTTATGCAATGAAATAACAATAAAAGTATTCCATTCGGATAATCACTGTTTTCGTAATAAAACAAAACTATAACACTTATCCGAAAACAACAATAACCACATAAAATCAATATTTACATTGGCCGCCTCTCGTTCCAAAAAATGCAGTCAACTTTAAGTCCGAGTAAACGAGCACTGACAGGTCCCAACACTAAATGAGCGGCACTGTGTGCGAGTAAATATCTTTCACGAGCGATCGCTGCCGATTGCGGCCGCAAAAACAAGTTTACATGGGCATGAGATTTTTTCAAAGTTACTCTCACGTACGTGTATCGTCGTGTGTAAAGGGTAATTAAGTAATGAAAGGAACTGGTTGAGCAAAATTAGAGTTGTTGGATTATGGATGGAGGAGTGTTTCAAATATGAGATGTCGTTTAGTGAAAATTCACACATTTTGGCGATTCGATTTCAATAATTGAACTAGTCCCTCATGTCCTTTCAGAATAAGAATCTTAGTCCAGAACTCAGAAAGTTCTAAGCGGTTCCTAAGCAAGTATACTATGTCCGTTTCTATTGTAGCAACAATCTCACGTAATTAACGGACACGTTTGTAAG